GCAGCTTTGTTACAGCCTGCTCTTAATTTCCCACAGTGAGCCCTGCGAGAGGGTATGCCTCCTCCCCCCACCCACACTGCAAGCCCTCCAACTCTGTTTCTTGGGCCCCTGTTCTGTGGCCCCCCTTCCGTCTGGCTTTCCCACTCCTGGACCCCCCCCAGCTGCCAGATCTGCAGCTGGTCTGGTTCCAAAATGCACCTAGAGACCATCTGTACATGCTCCTGCTCCACACACTGCATTTCCTCACCCTTGTGTCCCATCCCAGCACCAAATGGTGGGATTACTTATGACCAATTAAAGGGTGGGGAACCCCAATGGGCCAGCTTGTATTCCCCTCTGATCCCGCGATCCATTGGCGACATTAGTTGGTGGCTTCTTCATGGAGTCATGAGCACGGGCCTGTACCTGGTGCAGTTCACCCCTATCCCAGACACTTATCCCTTCTGCAGCATGAGGGAAAACCTGGTGCACACGTATTTGGAATGCGCCAGGTTGCAGCCCTTATTCTGGTTCCTCCAGAACCTCTTATTGAGATTCAGGCTACACTCTTCCCCTCACCTTTTCATTTACATGCACCCCGTCTGAGACCCCACAAAGTCACGAGACCTCCTTGTCAACCTTCTTCTGGCCCTGGCGAAAGCCGCCACCTATAATATCAGGAGGATGACGCTGGATGAGGGGGTGTTCTGTGACTGTGGGGCCTACCTCCGTTCCTCCCTGGTCTCACATCCAGGCAGAGTTCCTCTGGGCGGCATCCACTGACTCCCTGGACAGCTTCGGGGAGCAGTGGGTACTGTCCGGGGTTCTCTGCTCAGTGTCCCCATCCGGTTCCTGTCCACCCTTCCCATGGCTTCAAATAGTGCCCCATTACCGTCTGTCGCACTACACATGTTGAGAAAGAAGCTCCTGATAGCAACCTCCACAGGAGGGGCAGGACCTTTAAAGGTGCAAGGACATTGACTTGTGACATTGTCTGCTTTCAAGTGCAAGCTTTCCTAGATAGAGAAGTTGAAAGAGCAATAGCTGGCAACTGTTGACAAACTTCTGTGAAACGTATAGAATCATAGAAGATTAGAGTTGTAAAATACCTCAGAAGGTCATCTAGTTCAAGCCCCTGCTAAAAGCAGGACTAACACCAACTAAATAAATATAAATTAATGCTTCATGCCATTCTCATTAGAAGAGTAGCAGGATATAAAATCAACACAATATATTGAATAGTCCTGTCAGCTATTGATCTCAAAAGGTAATTTAAATCTGAAGTCATCATCCAATGAGGGGGATTTTGGTCAGGTTGTCTAGAGATTTGTGCTTGACTTAATGCTACCTCATATCTTTATCAATGATTTAGAAGAAAATGAACTTATTAGCAGTGAAGTTTGCAGGTGACAACTTGTAGTGGAGTGAACCATATTGACAAGGACAGGTGAACTACGAAGAGCAAAGTGGATCACATAGAAAGATGGACTCATTTGAACAATATTCATTTAAATTTGGCTCACTCAAATCCAAGACTGCAGTCAACAAAGCCCCCGCGTTCCATGCTTGCCTTTTTGGGCAGAGTAGAGATGCTGGCTCAGCACACTGCCATTCCTCCTCCCTCCCGCTCTGGGCTGGTGCCTCATCTCCATGAGCACTAGGAAGCTCTGCACTCCTGTTGATCTCATCTGGAGGCTCTTTCTCCACAGCTCCCATTAGCTGGGAATCATGACCAATGGGAGTTGTGGGCACTGCCCCCCACAGGTAAGAATCACAGAATGACAGAATCCTAGGCCTGGAAGAGTCCGCAGGAGATCATCAAGTCCAGCCCCTGCCCAAAGCAGGACCAACTCCAACTGTAAACCAGGGGCAGCGCAGAGCCACCTGTCCCTTCCCACCAAATGGAAGCTGTCCCACTTAAGTGCCCCTCGCCCCAAACTCTCTTCTCCCATGTTTCAAGTCCTCCAGAACTTTTAATTGGGCCCTTGCTCTGAAATCCCTCTCAGCCTCCTCCCTTTTGGTGTCCTACCCCAGCACCAAATGGCAGGACTACCTACCACCTGTTGATGGTGAGGAACCCTGGTGTGCCAGCCTCTACTTCACCTTGGTCCCACAGCTCACAGGAATCACGGCTTGTGGCTCCTCCACCAAGCTGTGAGCTCAGGCTTGTACCTGGTGTGGTTCAATGCTTGCTCCTTTTGCAGCATGAGGGAGAACCTGATGCATGGCTACCTTGAATGCATCATGTTGGAGCCCCTTTTCCAGCTTCTCCAGAATCTCTTGTTGAGGTTCTCGCTGCATTTCCCCCTGCACCTGTTTATTTCAGCACACCATATTCATGGCCCACAGAATAGTCTTGTAAACCTCCTCCTAGCCCCGGCCAAAGCTGCTATTTATAATATGAGGAGGAGCATGCTGGATGAGGGGTACTCAGATACTGTGTGACCTATTTCTGTTCTCTATATGGTGTTATGCATCTGGGAAGAGTTCCTCTAGGTGGCTCCTTAGATAGCTTGGAGGAGCAGTGGCACCTATTCAGTGTTCTCTGGTTGGTGTCTCCCTCTGGATTCTTCCTTTTGAACCTCTGACCTCAGTCCCATTGCTATTTTTCATTATCTGCCCCCCCCCCCCATTCATTTAATTGCTGAGTTCAGTGGTTCTTCCCACTTGACTGTGGGTGGGGCCTTTAGAAGCTGGCAGGTTTATGTGAACCCACCTCCCAGTATTTCAGTAAGGCCCAGGTAAACACCCACTCCTCTGCCCCAGTCCTAAGATCCTCCTGCACCCTAACTCCCACTCAGACCCTGCATCCTAACTCCCTTTCCTGATCCTGAACTCCCCCTCTGCACTATAAATCCCTGACCCCTTCCTAAATCCCACACCCCAACCCTGAGCCCTCTCCCCCACTCCAAACCTCTTGCTCCCTACCTGGAGTACTTCTTACACACCAAGTACCTCATCTGCAGCTGCATCCCAAAACCCAAACAGTGAACTCTTAACATATATAAACCTAATTCAGTAAAGTTTAACTTAATTCAATAAGGTTCGTCCAGGCTATTCAGGGGATTGCACTTAAGAGTGATAATCACAGTCTGCAAGTACTGACATGGGGACAACATTTCTCTGGCAGTAGAGGTCTCTTTAATCGACAAAGTCAGAGCAAGATCTTGTATATGGAAGCTGAAGCTTAGTCTAGAGATCCAGTACAAAATGTTTTAACAGTAAGCATAATTAACCTTTTTCACAACTTAATTGAAACCTGGTGGGTTCTTTACCACCTAGAATCTTTAGATCAAGACTGGATGTCTCTTTCTTAAAGAGATACTCTAGCTCACCCAGAAATTAGAGCCATGATATAGGAATCACTAGACAGATTTTCCATCCCATATTAAGTAAGATGTTAGATCATATTGATCTCTTTTGACATTAAAATCTGTGTGCGAAAGACTGGACCCATTGAAGTCAATGGGAGTTTTGCCACTGATCTCAGAGGGGGATCAAAATTTCACCCTCTGAATTTTGTTAAAATGAAAATGAAATAATACAATTTAATTAGGATATGCTACTTCATCTTGGATTATTCTTTATTTTGAATATGATGAGGAAATTGTTGGCCACTTAGACTGAATTATTACAGGCTGTGGACAACAAAACTGCCAAAAAGATCCAAAAGACCTGAAGATTAAATATGTACTAATATTTGTAACCATTCCCTTAATCTACCTGTCTACCAGGGAGATGTAGGTATGATAAATTACAATTGCCTCTTCTTCTCCAAGACATGCTTAAAGTTCACTATGGCATTATAAATGAATCAAAGTTGAAGTTATTACTGAGAATATTGATGGAAAATATACCAGGGATGAAATCCTGGCCCCACTGAAGTTAATGACTTTTACCTTTGACTTCAACAGGCCCACAATTTTGTTCCATGTGTCCTTACGATTTGTTATGGCTTAGAAACTACAGTGATGATTCAGTTTTAAGTAAGTCTCTGAAATAAATTTGGCTGATTACAACTTTGAGTGCAATATGATCTTATTCTATCAAAATTCAAAGCCTTAATGAGCCTTATTGACTTTGTTTTATTTATTCATACCAGTTGTACAAGTAAAAAGAAATTCATGAAACACATTCAACAAGATATGCTTTCTTTCTTATAGTAAGCTTACATTTGTGATTGTCTCATTCAGATCAATGAAATTTACTATTAAACTTTATTAAACTGTTTAAAAAATACTATATCAGTAGTGAGCTAGGCAGATTTTTTTTAATCAAAATTTTGACATGAATTTTATGAAAACCTTGACACAAAATGTTTCAAACTCTATGGTCTACATATGTCAGGAATCTACTATAAAAATAAAAACGTGATATTACAATTTTCACTCTGTTTTAAAGAAAATATAATGAATTGCAGAGAAGCAAAATAAACTAATGTAAATGTCATATGTATTTTTTTCTGCCTTTCGTAAACAGACTACAGTTTTAAAATTGATACTCAGATTAAAAGGGGTAGCCGTGTTAGTCTGAATCTGCAAAAGCGGCAGGGAGTCCTGTGGCATCTTATAGACTAACCGAAGTGTTGGAGCATAAGCTTTCGTGGGCAAAGACCCACTTCATCATGCATCTGACGAAGTGGGTTTTTGCCCACAAAAGCTTATGCTCCAACACTTCGGTTAGTCTATATGGCGCCACAGGACTCCTCGTCAGATTTAATAGTTAACACAATGTATGTTAATATTTAAACAGCCTTTATAAGGCAAATTCAAAACAGTGTATTCAATATAAAACTAGAATTAAAAATAGGAAAAATATTACTATATGACCTGGATTACAGCAAAAAATTGGGAAATAACATGCAATTAATAAATTAACACTTTTTGCATTTTGAAATACTTAGCATTGTTAAACAAGTACTATTTATGAAAATATCAGCATTTACAAACATTAAACATTATGAAAATTAGATGAAAGGACTATATAAGGTTTTAAAATCAATCATTGATAATTAATTTTACCTGTTTTATCAGAAACAGTGTGATAACAAAAGAAACAGGTCCCGGAGATATTCTGGAAGAGAACCTCATGCTGCAGCAGAGAGCAGAATGGATAGAGATACTCATAATGGTAAACTTCAAGAGTTATGTGCTGTACTCTTGCTTTACAATAGAGCCAATTTCCCACCCTGTTCTGTGAAAAGCTTAATGCCTGCACTTTTAAAAACTACAGACAATATCACAAATGACTGTTTCATGGATCTCAAGTTACTCAAGCCAAAAAAAAAAAGCTATTGAAACCTCCAGAGTTTTGAGATTGACTTCCTTTCCTTTTTTCCCCCTGTGTCAAGGCAAAGGGAATTTACTTAGATTTCACAAGCATGTCTGCTTTCTGTTGTTTGTCAGCCAATGAGAAGTAGTGAAAGCAAGTATTACACATTGAGGGGCTGATCCTGTTCCCATAGAAATTTATGGCAGTTTTGCCATTTGACTTTAGTGGGAGCAGAACCCAGACCCTACAGATTAAAAACCTGTTATGCTGTTTAAACATAAACTCTAGGGAAATAAGAAAAATCTTGCACAGTAACTCTGCTGAACTAGGACACAAATTAAATGGCAGGCTTATTTTGAACTTCATGGAGCACACATCACTCAGTCTTCACACTAAGGGCAGGATGGTGACATGGAACATGGTCACGCATACCAGAGCAGTTTTGCCACCTCTGTTTTATGATCAGACTTAGGATATTTTATGTCTTTCTTCCAGCCCCTCCTGAGGATGGCATGGAAGATGGAGGAAAACAGGAAATAGCTGGATCTTTGACTCTCTCCTGCAACTTACTGCCCAGTGTTAGCCAAGTTAGAGCAAGAAGCTGAGTTAGTAATTTCCTGCTAGGAGAGGTGGTCAATACATTACTACCCTGAGGGAATAGTGATAGAGGGAGGAAGGTCTGAGGGTGGCATTGTGACCCTCTTAGATGCCTCTCAGATTGAATTCTTGTTGTCAGGGGTGCAAAAAGACACTGACCCAATCAGTAAACCGTGCTTATATTAGAAATCACTCCAAGCCAAGGGTGTTGCAGCATCCCTGTCATCACCTAGCATGCTTCTCCTCCTGGCTACCATATAGCTTGGCCCATTTCCTGCTCAGGGCAGTACTTAGAGTCAGAACCTGCCCTGAATGATGCCGAGATCTTTCAGCACTTACTGGGGAAACTCAAGCTACTAAATTTACTGCTATCCCAACTAGAGTTGGTTACCAAAGCTAAGAGCACACCTTTCTTTTCAGTGTAGGTATGCTGTGCATCTCCTTTCTCATGCACAAAGGGAAAGTCCCAAGTGCCCACTGTGATGGGATCCCCCCCAGGGTGCATTCTGGGAAGCAGCCCCCCACCCAGCTAGATTGCATGGATACTCCCAGAGCCACTCATGAATCACACAAAGAAAGACACCAGCCAAATCTCCCCGGCTCCCAGCACTGTACCTTAGGAATTTCATGGATTAGTTGGTTTACCATTTCATTAATGGAAAATAGACATACACAGGCCTTTTGTAAAACCCCTGGGCAAATTTGCCAAACTCACTAAAAGATAAACAGTAAATAACATTTAATGGCTATTAAATATTGATTTAAGTGGTGTTAAGTGATAGGCAAAAAGTAGGAGTAGTTACCAAATGAAAAGAAAATATGAACATGCAGACTAATCTATCAACCCTATTAGACTGAGCAACAACTAGAATACACAATTTTTCTCCCACCACTGAATATTGCAATCCTTAATATGCGGACTTGTCTCTTAAACCTGAGATAGTCTCCTCTGTTTGGAGTCTTCAGAGGCTATGTCTAGACTGCAGCATTTTTCTGTGTCCCGGAAAAACTGCGCCTCATCCAGGGAACACGTCCACTTTTTCAGAACAGTTTCTGAAGTGGGCACATTCTTTTGGCATCTTTTGGGATATTCTGAAAGAAGAGGGTTTTCTGAAATTTGGCCCTGTGTAGATGGGCCAAATTTTTCTGAAACCTCTCCCTGTAGTCTAGACATAGCCAGAGTGTACGCACATTGTGATTTGCAATTTGTGTATCTTTTTCTGAAACCTCTCCCTGTAGTCTAGACATAGCCAGAGTGTCCCCAGCAGGGTTCATGGGGCCCTTGCCCAGCACAAAGGGAGTTCCTAGGGACCACACTCAGCAGGGCTGCAACCTCAGACCCAGCCAGCAAGAGGGAGCAGGTCTCCTTACAGAAGCTGAGGGACCTTGCTGACCTCAGTGCAGCACAGCTCCTGAGGGAAGGCTACCAGGAGAGGTTCCTGTAGGAGAAAGGATTCTTGTACCAAGAATTGATCCCTCCAGTGGAACTGGAGTTGTGGCAGGTTGTTCTGAGAAGTGCTGCTGTAGTTGAACCATGATGTCAACTAAAAGGGCAACTAAAATGATTAGGTGTTTGGAATGGGTCCCATATGAGGAGAGGTTAAAGCGACTGGGACTTTTCAGTTTAGAAAAGAGGAGACTGAGGGGGGATATGATAGAGGTCTATAAAATCATGACTGGTGTGGAGAGGGCCGATAAAGAAAAGTTATTTATTAGTTCCCTAAATAGAGGAACTAGAGGACACCAAATGAAATTAATGGGGAGCAGGTTTAAAACTAATAACAGAAAGTTCTTCTTCAAGAAGAAGTGTAGTCAACCTGTGGAACTCCTTGCCAGAGGAGGCTGTGAAGGCTAGGATTATAAGGGTATGTCTACACTACAAAGTTAGTTCGAACTAACGTCCGTTAGTTCGAACTAACTTTCATAGGCGCTACACTAGTGCTCCGTTAGTTCGAACTTAATTCGAACTAAAGGAGTGCTTAGTTCAAACTAGGTAATCCTCATTCCACGAGGATTAAGCCTAGTTCGAATTAAGGGCTGTGTAGAAGGCTACCCCCCCCCAGCTTTCCCTGGTGGCCACTCTGGCCAACACCAGGGAAACTCGTCTGCCCCCCTCCCGGCCCCGGGCCCCTTAAAGGGGCACAGGCTGGCTACAGTGCCCGTGCCAGGTGCAAGCCTGCCAGCACCCAGCCAGAAGACC